ACTGCTACTGCTACTGCTACTGCTACTACTACTACTACTACTACTACTACGACGACTACTACGACTACTACCACTACCACTACCACTACCACTACCACTACCACTACCACTACCACTACTCCTACTACTACTACTACTACTACGGGATTTCGGATTGCCACCTCCACTCACGAGCACACTGTCACCCTCTCTTCAAGCAACGGACGGTAGCGCACCGTCCGGGTCCAGGCTTCGAAGCGGAAATACGCTGTTCAAGTCGTAATGCTTCAAGGCTGTTGGGCTTAAGACGCTAGGGTGTTAGAAGCTGGGCTTGTTGTCTCGTAGGTCAGGACTCATGGTAGATTCGGAAGGCTTCAGGATTCCGGGCACATTTATCCACGGAATATGAGGTGAGGATTCCAGGTGTTAGGCTCGTAGGGTTGTTGAATGAGGTCTCCAGTTGATTTACGGCTGCGCCCTACACGTTGTAGGCCCTCCAGGTTAAGGTGGCTTCGGGGGCCTTGCAGGTTGGAGTTTCGGGCTTTCGGGTCTCAGTGGAGGGCTTTGGTACTTGGGGACCCTGAAAAGTGGAGCCCCAGCCAGGCTTCTACCCTAGAAATTCAATTGTAGGTGTAGTTGGTTTACGACCTGAAGTGGCTTCAGGCTCGTAATGCTTCGAAAGGCTGGGTCCTTCCCAGGGCGCAGAAGAGCGACAAGATGTCCTTCCTCCCCGTTTCAGCCAGTTCGTGCCGGATTCTCTCGACTTCTGTGCCCCGAGTGCTTTGATCTGCGGAATTCATGGTACATTGTCCTTCAAATTTCCCCTGCGACGGCCGGCGACTGGGTTCGAACCGCTTGCCTGAGGGCAGACGGCTCATGAGATCGCGCAGCCCCTCGTTGGCAGGCAGACAGGGTAGGGAACGACCTGTTCATCCATGGAGACTGAATAACTTAGAAAACTGCACAGACTTATTGCAGCAATGTGCAATCACACGTTCAACCCTAGACATGGAATTCAGCACCAAAGACGACTTGTCCACAGACGTTCCCTACGAGTGCATCGTTGCAGCTTGACTGCAATCTCAGGTGCTGATTGTATGTCAGCATGTAAGGCTTGTCGGTGACTGGGGGATCAGCAGTGGAGCCGCATGGAACTACTCCTTTCACTCGTGGCGTTGTGTATCAGCCGACTTGCTACTGCCACCGTGACGAGGTTCAACGAAGAGGATGCAATGCTGAGTGAGAACAGTGGCGGCAACCCAGATTCCAAAAATTCTGGAGTTGCACTGCTTCCAAGAGTACTTCACTGAACAATGCCTCTGTCTTGCTTCGATGTTGGTCAACGTCTAGAGTCCAGAGACATGTGCAAGTTCCCCCAATCGCGTGCGAGCAGTGGAGAATTTCATCTCGATGCCTTCCAGGCAAGAAGGTATGGTGAAGCCTCATCCATTGGACGAGTGTGAAAAGACTGTTTAATTGCTTAGAGACTCTCGCTGGCGGTCCCCTTAACGCACGTGACTTGCACGTACAGGCATCTGTTTTCACAGGCTTTAGGCCTTCACCGGAGTGATGCGGGAAAAGAACACTCGAGGGGATGGGACGAAACTTTCAATCCTTTCGTCTAGGAGTACTGAAAGACTGAGAGGGCGGGAAAGACCAGCAAGTACTGTAACAACCGGTTGGTGTTCCGGGGCGCTTCAGCCGAGCGATGCTGGGTGAATGAACTGACAGTGCCGCGATTCAACTGCATTCCGAGCCAACTAAGCCCAACTAAGCGTACTCACCAAACTAGTTGTGCATACCACTGATAATGACAACACCTCACATGAAAGGTAACTACACCAGTCTGGCCCCACAGAAACACACAAAGAGAACGGTCGATGGATCGACGCTTTCTCGCCAATTGCTGACACATAGAACGTCGTATCAACAACCACATTCAGGGCCGCGCAGGAGATCAGAAGATCCGGCTCCTCATTTAAACCGGGCTTCGGGCTTGCAAAAGGCGACAAGAAAGGAGACAAGTCCCAATCGTGAAAACAGTGCGCTTCAGATTGTTAGTTTCGGAACTTCCGTGAATCGGAGGTCATGTACGAGGACATAAACTAAATGGAGACATTCAGAGCAGTTGGAAATGTGGGGGCAAACAAGATGCCCGCTTCTGACAGAATACAGCACTGCCATGCCACCACTTGGGAAGCAATGATAAGCCATGCGAATACCAGTGCGAACCACAAACCAGGCATACGACACATCCACACGTGGTAAAATCTGAATTCTCGATGCCTCATCTGAAAACAAAGGCAGGCTTAACGTGGTGCAAAGCATCAAGGTCCGCTTTTGCTGCTTGGCTTGAGCCATGTCAGTGCGGAGTCAAGGCTGTACACGCTGTGCCGCAGGAGACCAGACGCACTAATCACACACCTCAGCTTTCACACCCCTATGAACTTTCTGGTCTACTGTCGGCACCAAGGACACGGTCTTACCGTGCATAAGGTCTTCCAAAGGACCATGTATCGTGATACGCTTTGTCAGCGCATCCGCGAGCATCTTGTCTGTGCTCGTCCAGAGAAGCCTTGTTTTCCCGTCGGCGGCCTGCCCATCCTCACGCCAGAGTTCCTGCCTCAATGAACTGAGGTCGATCGCCAGGCGCTTATCGCTCACAGAACTGGCAGCTGGGTTCACCAAGTGTTCCTTCAAACTCATGCAGTCTGTGACCCAAAGCAAAGGTGTCCTGTCTTGAGCGGCGACGGTCCAGGCCACTGAGCCAAGCTTCTCCATGTCCTCGTAGAGACCGTGGAGCACAGCGCGAGCGTGCTCTCCTTCGGCCACTCCAAGAAGCAAGGAAAGGCTTTCCGCTTGGAGAGTGGACTTGCAAACTCGCCTTATGATAGTCGAGTGCCACTCGATCGGGTACAAGTGGCCTTCCAGCGAAGTGAGGAAGTCGCGCCTGGCAAGGCAGAGCAGCCTCCCGCTCTGGCTGCGGTAGCCCATCTTCTCTCCAGAGCGACTGGTATCGTAGTCTGCTGCATAGGAGGCGTCCTGGATGGCAATGATGGCCACGTCATTGAAGTCCAGGTTCCCCGCCGGGTAGAGTAGGCCCTTGTCCTTGGTCTTGGCCACGAACTTTACAAGGTTGTTGGCGTCGACGAGGTCCTGAACCACAGGCTTGTTCACTGCCGCCTGCAACCTGGAGACAGAGTACGCCAGGTCTGGGCGGCACACTCTCACGAGCCAATTCAAGGACCCAACCACGGACCGTAGTTGGGCCTTTTCCTTCTCAGTTGCGGCGTTCTCGCGCTGTCCTTTTCGACGGGGCTCCAAGTGCACCGGCCGAACTCGAGAAATCAGCTCAGGACAAGTGACCCGTATTCCATGAGGTCCTTGTTCCAGCCAGCGACCACAAAATTTGAAGCTCTGCTGGTCTAAAGATCCAAATCGGTATTGCTCTTGGATCCGAAGCATAGCCGCCTCCATGTCGTCGTCCCCGACCCACAGCAGGTCATCAACATGCACCAAAAGCAATCCTTTGATGAAGGTGCCTCCGCTGGAGTCGGTGCCATTCATCACATAGAAGCCCGGTTCCTTAGGCACTCGCCGAAGTTGGTTGTTGCGAAGCGTGGTGTCCAAGTTCTTGAACCATCCTCGAGGAGCGTCCTTGGTCCCGTAGACGGTGGTCGAAACGATCACCAAATCATCTTCAGCCATGTCCTCGGGAGGTGATCCTTTTGGCATGCTTAGGACCAGCTTCCTGTCCAACTCGGACCCCTGAAGAAAGGCTGCCGAGATGTCGCCTGACTTGATGGTCCTCCTGGTGGCGGCCCCGAAGCTCAGAAGTAGCCCCATAGCCGTTTGTGACCCGGTGGGGGAATCGGTCCTCATAGAGCTGGCGTCCTCCAAGTCGCCTCTCACAACAAAACGGCTTTTGAGCTTCTGTGGCTTCCCGGCTTCCGACTTGTCCACGTCGACCCATCTAGTGGGAATAATTCGCAGCGTGCTGTCCTTCTTCTTCATCTCCTCGAACTCGCTCCGGGTGATGCGCTGCATATTGGAATACTTTTTCCAATTGCTCCACTCCTTGGCCCTCGTCTCGTCGAGGCTCTTCCGCAATTCGGGATCGGCCTTTTGATAGTTGATCTCCCGGCCGGCTCCTTGCTTCACCACCTTCTTCTTGTACTTCCGCTCTGTTCTGGTCCCCAGGAACGCCAGCACCTTCTTGGCCTTGTTTTTGAACTCTAGGTTCTTGCGCTCCTGCACCTCGTTCCGGTACTCTGGAAAAGCTGTAGCCATCAAACCTGGCGGCGGTTGCGGCAAAGACTCTCTCTGCGCAGTCGCCGTTTGTCTGACCAACACAGAGGGTGACCGAGACCTTGGGTGACCATCGACCTGATCCACAGAGCGACGCATAGCCTCTTGCAAAGGCGTCGTAAAGGACCCCCCCGGAGTAGAAGATGTCTGTCGACTTTCAGTCGGTGGTGTCGTTGCTGAAGGAACGGCCTCATCTGCATTGAGGTCTCCTCTTTGCCCTTGGCCCCCCGGAGTAGAAGATGTCTGTGGACTTTCCGTTGGTGGTGTCGTTGTTGAAGGGTTGTCGTTGGCGTTCTCGACGGGCTCTTGCTCTGGCTGTGTCACCTGTCGGGTCGGCTCCGGCTCCACCATGGGAACTTCTGGGAAAACCTCTGCTTCACCTCCTTGTTCAGCTGTTGGCCCAGGTGTCTGCGTAAAGTCGAAGTAAGGAATCTGACTTGGACCATCAAAGGCCGCCGTCTCCTCCTCGAAGGGTAGGTCCTCTTCTTCGTCCAGAAGAAAGTCCTCGTACTTGCGCTTGGCGGGTGTTCGGTTCCAAGCTGGCCTCATAGTCAAGGCCTGTCGCCGATGAACTTCTTCCGTGGTGGCGGGCCTCAGCGCGGTCTCGGCCACCAGCAGGGTCATCCCACCATGCACCAGCCACAAAGAGCTTTTCCCCTCATGGGAGAGTACCCGGGCCGGACCATACCAGCGGCCACGTCGGTGGTAGGAGACCAAATCCCCCATCTGGTAAGGCCCCCTCATTGTGTGAGTCTGTCTCAGCATTGCCCGGCGAATCCTTTGGCTGCTGTCCAAGTAGATGAAGCACTCCTTGGCCCACTGCCGCATCTGCATAAGCTTGCCGTGGACGGTCTCCGGGTCATCGGTCTCCTGCTGTGGGCCTATAGTTTCCACCTCATTCTCGCCCAAAAGAGAGGTCACGTCATGGGGCAACCTTCGGACCCATTGGGCCGGCACATAGCCGTCATGGTTGTACATAGAGTTCTTGACGGTGGTGCTCTGCGTCACGGCGGCGCTGATGGACATATCACCGGAGAGCTGGTGGGCTGTGATAAGGCGCTTGACCATGGCCTTCAATATCCCACCATGTCTTTCGCCCCGGCCTATCTGCCATGGCGCCTGGCGAGCGGCCTGTCGAATTTCAATTCCATGGGCCCGCATCAAGGAGGCCACCTGGCCTTGATTGTGCACTCCCTGGTCGGCCTGGAAGATCTTCGGATTGCCGGCCCAGGAGAGCCACGCGGTGTTGATGAAGTCGGCGCACACCTTCGAAGATGGGGTGCCTCCTGAAGACACCCGCCCGGTCACGTGGAACTTTGTGCCACTGTCCACCAGACTCAAGATTGTATGCTTGCTTCCGGCCGCGTCCACCACCTCAAAGGCATCACAAATAACCTGGTGGTTGAAGCGGTAAGGGGGTGCCGTGGTTGTAGAGGAAGGCTTCGTGGGCTTTTTTCCCGCTCCAAGCAGGCTTGGCACCGAAAGTGCCGACAGGCAGCCACCACCTCGGCCGAAGTGCCGGCTGAGCGAAGCATTCGTATCATGGCACTGTTCGACGCATGCCCTGTCATGTGGTGGAGCCTTCTAATAGCCAACCTCTTGTTCCGAGGAATGGCTAGCCACTTTTGCTTCCGCACCTTCTCGAAGTCTGGCTGCGCTTCCGGAGGCGGCTCCTCGTCTAGGCGCTCCTCTCGGCTCATCTCGTGGCTGTTTTCCGGTGAAGGAAGCGGATCGCCCAGGTCCTCGTCCCGGTGCACTCCATCTATCATGCCGAACTCCTCCTGTTCCTCGGTCTCTTCCTCGGCCGCAAAAACCATAGAGCAATTAAGGTCCTGAAGTTCGCAAGCAACGGCCTCGAGGATCTCGTGCGCCAGTTGGCTGGGCCAGCTGGCAAGTAGCTGGGCTGGTCCTTCATGGTGCCAGTGTTGCCCTTGACATTCCCGAGGAATTTCCCTTTTGATGGCCCGGGAAGAGGTGAGAATCGCCGTGGGCCGTTGCACCGGAGATCCAGTGCGGAGGTCGACTCCTCCGAACCGACACCAATCACAGTATACCATCTCCATCGGCTCCTGAGTGGCTGCTTGCACCATGCTGTGCGCTTTCTCCGTGCACCGAAGTTGCCAAAAGAGGCTGTGCCAAGGGGCTTCAAGAAGGACTTCCCGGCCCTTTTGAAGCCGGCTGTTCACCAAATCCATGATCCAGTCAATGACGGGGTACCACAGCCTTCTCTCAGCAGTGGTCTGGTGGCTTTTCGGGCTCCCCCGGGCTCGAGGTCGGTATCTTGCCAATTTGCCCAAGGCGCCTTCAAAGAGGTGACCGCCAAGAGGTACGGGTCCTCATGTTCAATCTGCTCCCTCGCGGTTTGCCGCCCGGCCGTGCTTAGGAGCTGGTGGTTCATGAGGTCAAGGGGCTCCCCATGGGGAAACCCGGCATTCGCTGCAACCGCGGTCAGAGCAGCAGCTCCGGCAAAGAGTTCCAACAGCAAGGTGCGGCAACCCTTTGGCAGTAGACGTTGGCAGGCTCGGGCACGCTGAGGTGGTCGTGGATCAAGTTGTGCCCACAAGGTGGCGTCATGCCTCTTGAGTCCTTCGCTGGTGTCTTGCAGGTGTCGGCGCTGGCCCTTGGTAAGCGTAGTCGGCTTCTCCTCGTCGAAGGCAGCAAAGCCATGGTGGTCCAATCCTTGGTCACCAGGGCCACCAGGCTCTTCGAGGCAGTGGTTGCTGTCCCGGTAGAACAGGGTATATCCTGTCCAGGCATCCTCGCCAAAGTTCGCTGCCACCTCCTCCGGGTTCATCTCCAGCCAGTGTCCTTGATGTTCCCGGCGTTCTCCAGTAGAGCAGTTGATGGGCACAGTCTTGCGGAAAGGGAGTCGCCAAAGTTCTCGCTCGATCTCCTGCTCCTGGCTGGGCTCGCCGCGGGGATCATAGAGCCTTGTCCGTGGCTGCAAGTGAACCCTCATCCAAACATCGCCTTGTAGCTGCCAGTGGTCGTCATCGTCTTCTAGGCCGTGGCTCTGGCGGTTGTCCTCGTCTTCCTGCTCGGCCTGCACCATCATTGCAAAGTCCCCTTGTTGTTCGTGAGGAAGAAGAGGCAGAAGACGAAGTGCCGGCAGACCGTCCCGGTCGACGAGGTCGATGTGACTTTGGAAAACCTTGCTGTAAGCGGCGCCGGCCTCGATATCAAGCACAAACCCAAGTTGCTTTTGGGCACCATAGCTCAAAAGAAGTGGGGCCGACGAGTCCTCCAGCTCGGTGCTCTGCACGGTCCCGGCTGCCATGGTGCCGTCAGACAGCTGGATAGCAATGTTCAAGGTGCGCTTCCCTAGGGCGCGCACGCGCCCACCAATGCCATTGAGGCTTGTGGCCGACGAGCAGGCCAGGGGCTCATATTCCAGACCGCTGGCCTTCATGTACTCCTTCATCCAAAGAGCACCGTGGCAGGTCTGGTTGCAGCCAGTGTCCAGGACGGCTGTCAGGGCGTCCTCGCTCGGAACACTTGTGTTCACAGCCATGTTCGCTTGGGCGCGGTTGCGGTGCTCGGTCATCTTCTGAAATCGGATGTACCTCTCGAAGTCCTGCAGCGTCTTCGCCTGGATGTTGCCGCCCTGGCTGAGGATCCAGGAGACATAGTCCGGGAACTCCGCGTACACACTGGCATAGGTCTTGCCCTTGTGCTTCCCCGACTGAAGAACCGCATCGCCGGTAATGCCGGTGTCGGCCGGAACTCTTCTAGCTTCAGGTGGCTCCGGTGGTGCCGGTCTCGAAGACGGCGTGGTAGTCGCTGGTGGCGGTGCCGCTCTCCTCTCAGGGTGCTTGGCCCGGTAGATCTGGGCACACTTCGAGACGATGCCCGGCAGCTTGTCAAGAGGAACAGGTGTACCCCCGCTCTCCTGCACCATCACCACCGCCCCGGCCATCTCAAGAACCTTCACGGCCTCAGTGTCGGGGCCTTCCAGGTTGCGACCGCCAAGAGCACCATGTCCCATTGCAGCGGCCGTGTTCTCGTTCTGTCGCCCTTCTCGTCGTAGGCCACAGTCCTTGCAATACCACTTCCACACATGCCTGTTGGTGCCGGCCTGCGTGACATTGTTGTGCGGGCACCGGTCTTGATCTCGAAGTGTGGTGCTGGCTGCCGGTGGCGACGGCACTGTGTCCTTCTTGCTCCTTTCCAGAACAAAACCACAACGAACACACGTCTTCAGGAAGTAGTGCTTGTTCGTGCCCTTTGTGGTCGTTCGCTCGTGTCGGCAGCTCTCCTGCTCTCGGCTCGCAGGGCCAGAGCCTTCCCCTTCGGGGTGCGCTGCTTCCTCCGCAGTCCTTGGCGGTTCGGCGGGAAGCTCTGAGGAAGCGGCCGCCTGAGATTGTTGAGGAAGCTCGGCAGGTACCTCAGCAGGTGGACGTAGCAGGGGAAGGTCGTAGGGACCCGTCACCGGCACAGCTCGAGGATCGTAGGCCTCGTTCACCGGCACAGCCCGCAGCTCGGGCGTGGGAACGGGGTACTCAACGGCCATCGGTCCTGCTGTCATGTGTTGTTCTTGCTGCTGTGCCTGCGCTAAAAGCTGGTCCATAACCACGTCGCTGTTCTCGCGAAGAGCCGCAAAGAGCATCTCGTGGTCCCAGTCGGCTCCGGGCACCAGGTTCCACTGTGGACCTGCCGAACTCGCCGCCGGCAAGGTCACCGAAGGAACCGGCAAGCTCGAACTCGCTGCGGGCAAGGCCAACGTAGAAGCCGGCAGGCCTGTCTCGGTAGTCGGGCTACTCTCCGTAGCGGCCGTCCGGGGCGAAGGCAAAGACAACGAGGCCACCGTAGAGCTCGCCCCGGGCACGGGTTCCGATCTGCCCGACCAGTTCAACAGAGAGGCCAGCATCCAAGGAAGATCGTGGTCGCTCGGCTTCGGCCCTCGGCGGGTCGAGGCTGGTAGGTGGTGGCACTCTCGAGAAATCTCCCCTGTTCGCCATAAAGCCCTTGGGTTCCACAGGTTCCGGGTCGCTGACCGCAAAGTAAACGGTCCTCGGCTTCGGTCCTCCGCTCTTGTCGCTGGCTCCCTTGCCCTTGTTCTTTCCGGCACCTTTGGTAGACGAGGTCGAGGTGGAAGAGGGCGAACGTTTCCCTTTTCCACCACCTTTAGGGCAAATGCTGTCTCCAGACCAGTGCCCCCGAGCTCCACAGGCCCGGCAGCTAGTTCTGCTTTTGAGGGCGGTGACCCTGGCTTTTCTCTCCTCAAGGGAGAGCTGGCCACGAACTTCGAAGCGCTTGTTGTTGAAGCCGTGGTGGCCCTTTTGCTGGGCCCGCTGCTTGGTAAAGTACACCTCGGCCTCGGCCTGGATAACATCCGCGGCGTACTCTGCAGACTCTGGGTCCGCCTCGTCCAGACCCTCGTTCACCAAGGCGGCAAAGGCCTCCAGAGTGGGATCTTCGGCCTCTTGGTACTCGTGCTCGGTGGTTCCGGCACCTTCATAGCCGAAATATCCTGAGGCAGCCTCGCTCTCAAAGCCTCCAAGGCTTTGGCTGTAGCTGTCCCATTCGGCCTCCACGTGGCCCAGGTAGGCATCGCCAGCCTGGTCGGCAAAGTTTGCATGCCAGGTCTCGTCCGCGGCGGCGTCGGCATAGTAGCTGGGGCTGTTCTTCCACTTGCCTTTCCAGGGCTGGCCCTTGCCTCCAAAACGCTTCCAGGGTACATGCGCCCTTTTCTCACGCAAGTGCAGGCTGCCGTGCTGATTCACAAGCTCGTTGCAGACACCATCCACCGTGATAATCTGCCCCAGGCTCGTACGTATCATCAGCTGGTGCTCTTCTGTCACACCGGCGTTCATGAGGATCTGCTCGGCGAGGAGCAGGTCGGGCAACTTTATCTCGCCATCGAGGTCGGTAAGCATGGCATACCAGGTCCGCCTCCTCAATATGTAGGTGCTCATCGGTTCTCCATGTTGGCGGCTCAGCACACCATTCTCGCGAGACCCCGCGAGATACAACTCTCTGGCCTCTTGCTGGCGCCGTGGCCGAAGAGACCGAACAAGGGCCTCCAGGATCGCTTCTGGCCCTTTCTCGCCGATCAAGGTCTCCTCCTTCACGGCCCTGACGATGTGGAGCGCTGGCCCCCGCAGGCCTTCGACAAGTCGAAGACCCAGTGGACCCAATTTCTTCACCTCCCCTTGGTCCATCTCCTTCTCCTTTTTCACACGCATCCGGACCCTATAGGAGTATTCTTGCAAAAGGTTGAGGCTCCCATCAAACCGTGGAATTCCATACTTGCCCTCTGTGGTTTCGCTCTCAGATATCTCCACGAATCTGTGCCAGCTTAGGCCTTCCAGTAGCGACGCCATGGCGAACGGCTTCCGGAAGCTTGCTAGGTCTTAGGCTCAGCGGCTGCCTAGGTAGTATGTATCGGGCCCCCGGCCCTAGAGCGCAATGGCTCCGCTGCCAATCTGAAAACAAAGGCAGGCTTAACATGGTGCAAAGCATCAAGGTCCGCTTTTGCTGCTTGGCTTGAGCCATGTCAGTGCGGAGTCAAGGCAGTACACGCTGTGCCGCAGGAGACCAGACGCACTAATCACACACCTCAGCTTTCACACCTCAAGCTGTGGTTGTTGCTTGCCTGACCAGATGCTGAAGCTACGACTGAGTGCTCCACCCTGTCTGAATGATGGACTGGAAAGCTACTAGATGCAGTCCCCTTTCGGACCGTATTTCTCGGAGCGGCGGTTGGATTGAAAAGGTCCTATTCCCACGGATCTGTGGCCTCTTGTGTTGCGCAATTCAGTGGCCAATTCACCCAGCAAAGCCCTCGGGCGACATGATGATGCCATTCAGTCCAAGTCGGTGAGCCCTTCTTAGGACGCGCAGCTTTGTCCTTAAGCCTAGAATCCAAATGGAAGACCTTCCTTGCTCTGGCAGCTACGGCTGCTATTGTTGCAACTGTGAAGGTTGCTCCCCAGCTGAGGCTTCGGTTTGCCTTTTGAGACTTGGGCTTGGAGGCACGGATTGTCCCGATTCAGCAGCGTGAGAAATGTGGCCTGCCAGCAGATGCGGGATTCAATTGAAGGCTACAGTAACAAGACCAATCATGAAAGCACAAGGCAAACATCAAGAGAAACCAAACAACTACACAGTGCTGCGGCAAGGGTAACAGCTAGATGCTGCTGCAACACTACAAAGTAATAATGTAAGGAAGAGCGGCATCAGAAGTAGCAGTCGCCGTCGTCGTCATCGTAGTAGTGGTGGTGGTAGTAGTAGTAGTAGTAGTAGTAGTAGTAGTAGTAGTTACTACTTAGTAGTAGTAGTAGTAGTAGTAGTAGTAGTAGTAATAGTAGTAGTAGTAGTAGTAGTAGTAGTATTAGTAGTAG